CAGCTACTTGGGAGGCTGAGGCAGGAGACTCACTTGAGCCCAGGAGTTGGAGGTTGCTATGAGCTGTGACGCCATGGTACTCTACCCAGGGGGATAGCTTGAGGCTCCATCTCAAAAAAAAAAAAAAGATAGGATGAATTTTGAGAATGCTTTTAGAAGGCACAGTGTTTTTTTCTTTGACTTTTTGTAACTAAGGATGAGTGCATTTTTTATAGGAAGGAAGATGCTTTGGTTTCTAGTTTAGTTTAATAAGTCCGTCTGACTTCAAGGGTGATGTAATGTTACACCTTCTTTAAAAAATTTATAAAGTAATGTCTTATAAAGGTATATCCTGTACCTTAGTAATAAGGATGTGTCCCCTACTTATTCATAGTTCCTTTATTATCTTTATCAGAGGTGTTTACTATCTAATTGATAGTATACTCTTTAAGATTTCAGTATTACCAAAATGAGTAGATTTATTAACTGTTATTTGTGTCCTTCATGTTTAAGATTAAAGATGCTTCACCAGGGAGTGTGCCTACTCCATGTGAATTAGTAAAAAGCTTAGCCGTCATTTATTTGTGTAAGTAGATTATTTGGGTGATGTCGCAAGATTTCAGAGGTTATGCAATGCACATAACATTCCAAATAGTGACTAAAGACAAACTTAAAAGATTAACAGTAGATAATAATCAAGTTAATATTTAAGCATCCAGAACAAAAGCAGATTTGTTAATCCTAAGTTATAAAGATGTTAGTTTTAAATCTATCATGAAATTGTAATACAGTAGAACCTCCGTAGTTGACCAACTCCCAGCGCTGATCACCTCCTGAAGTTGGCCTAATTTTCATAGACAAGACATGCACCACATGTACCACCAATCAATATAAAAGGCCTGGTTCCTTATGTTGACACCCTCAATATGTTGACTACTTTGTTACAGTCTCTTGGGTGATCAACTTTCAAAGGTTCAACTGTATGTACTGAACTTTCAATTTTAAAAGCCCGGAAATCATCCTTTTCCAGATTTGTCAAACTCCTATGAAACGTAGTGTCTAGCTAAATTTCTATACTTTAGAAAGATGGAAATATTGAAGAATCCTCAAAGAAGCAATTAAAATAAGACCTATAAGATGAACTGGTTAACTGTTAGATGGCTGGCTGTTGCCTGGCTCCATGACCAGCTCTTACGGGGCCATTTTAGACAACTTTTACATTGGTTTCAGAGTACTAAGGGGATACCAATGTTTTGGTTCCATGGCTTGCTTGTGTGCCATGTATCAGGGTTATTAGTGAGCCCATCAGCTAGATAGTTCTTTAAAGGTTATATATTTAGAAAAGCTATGCGCTGTGTATTTCTAATTCAGTGTATGTCTTTGCCAAGAATGACTTTAATGATAGTTTATTTGGAGATAATAGAGAATAAATTGTCCAGTCTTGCCAATTTCAAAAAATGTCTTGGGTCATATGAGATTTTTCCTGGAAATATTATGAGAATTATTAAGTGGGTTTGCTTGCAGAATCCTTTTTTTTTTTTGACCAAAGCAGGGTATGGAAGCAAAAATGTAGCCCTAAAGATTACTTTCCTTTTTCCATTCTCATTTTCTGGCCCCTGACTTCGCAGTCACTTGTAAAGGTTGGTATGTGTTCTTGTGCTTTTACTAGGTAGACCAAATTTTATAGCTGGAAAACTTTGTAATGGGAAATAATTTAGGTTCATTTGCATTACAATAACTGGTTTCTGTTGAGTGCTGTGAGTCAACACATCACCAGTTGGTTTGGGCACATTCTTAGTTGATGAGAGATTTATGACTTTCAGCCTATTTATGCACATTTAACATCTTCAAGGTAAACAGCCTGATGGAAAGTAGCAAAGTTACAGAATTGAGAATACTACTTCTGATCCGTGAGCTGAGGAACTATTCGCTTTAAATTCATCATCCTTCATGTTCTCCTTTCCCCAGCTAGGAGTGAAACCTGAAAACCAGTCAGAAAGAAAAAAATAATCAGTCTCATATGGAGGGCTTTCTGAGATTTCATCTCTGAATATATTTTATGGAATTTTTTTGGAAAAAATATAGATGGCTTATTTGTAAACAACTGCACAAAAATATGCTAGTGATGGCTTGGCGCCTGTGGCTCAAGCGGCTAAGGCGCCAGCCACATACACCTAAGGTGGCGGGTTCGAATCCCCGGCCCGGGCCCGCCAAACAACAATGATGGCTGCAACCAAAAAATGGCAGGGCGTTGTGGCGGGCGCCTATAGTCCCAACTACTTGGGAGGCTGAGGCAGGAGACTTACTTGAGCCCAGGAGTTGGAGGTTGCTGTGAGCCGTGATGCCACTGCACTCTACCCAGGGGGATAGCTTGAGGCTCCATCTGAAAAAAAAATATATATATGCTAGTGTCATATGAAATTTTTACACTGAATTTATTGGGAATTTTCATTTTTTAAAAGTATCTAATAAGCTATTTTTAATAAGAGGAAGAAGAATTTTTAATACAGAGGGATTAGAAGGGAAAAGGGAAATTTATTTTTTTATGGCAAAAATTAAAAGGTACAAGTTTTCATTGAAATGCAAAAAAAGCTATGATTTTGTGCAGTAATGTAATAGACTTCGTGTGAAGTTTAAGGGAGAAATTGCATAAATATTTGGATTTTTTTTCATTATAAAGAATGGCATTTGCCTCTATGCAGGTCTGTATAGGTTAGAGAATAGCATTGGGGGGTTATTTTGAAATTCTAGATTCATACCTTCATCATATAGTAGAACTACAATGACAAGTTTTGACATATGGGACTTTGAAATGCTGTTTTGAAATAACTTGGAATTTGACAGTTCTATCAAACCCCACCCCCCTTAAAGAAAGAAATCTAAAGTATAAATAGTCTATACTGTATTTTATTTAAAGCTTGTTCTGAGCAACCAAATCTTATACCTGCTTTACAAATTATATTTATGTATGAAGTAATATATGTAATTCATGAGGTTATATAATGTAAATGTATATATTTGTGTGTATGTGTGTATATTTGCAGTTATAGCACATACCATATAAATCCAGCCATCAGTGTTTTTGGCATTGGCAGAACAGAAGGAAAATATTTTCGTGATGAATTAGGTTTCTTCAGTAGATCCTTAATTAGCCATGTAATTTCACATAGTAATTTTTATGAAGCTCAAATAAGAATGATAATAAACTGGAGCTTAGCTATGGAGAATTGCCTGAGGCATGAATTTCTGGTTTACAAGGAGGCATTGCTTTTTACAAGTTAAGAACTATATCAACATAGAGTTGAATGCTGATAATTGTTGATGCCGTGTATCTCTGGCTTTTGGTAAATTAGGACTATTTTAAAACACCATTACTAATGGGAAGGAGAAATTAAAAAGTTAAAAAGTTTTTAAAAAGTAAGTCCAGAAGTTTCTTGGGGCCTTCAGATATACCCTAGGTCTGTGCTGTGATCTGTAACTCTTGAAGCTGATCTAAATTGTACCTGTTTAGTTCAGAGGGGAAAAAGTATGACAACGGATAGATATTCTGTTGCAAAGGAATAAATATCAAGTCAAGAAAAAGTATTCCTTGGGTACCCATTTTTTATCCAGCCCTGGTAACAGATCAGGGGAGGTCAGTATTCAGCTTCCTCAGGAAACAGAGCGCCTCCTCTTCTTTTCTTTTTGCCCTGCAGTTCTTTTGTGTAGAATATGTGATACTGTTTATAGGCAAATGTCTACAAAATACATGTGGCTATTAGAAGCAAAGTTTTATTCAATAAATAAGGAAAGACTACTTCCACTGATGTAATGTGAAGGAACTACTGCTATTTCTTGAAATATTAAAAATAATTTAAAAACTGAAGAAGCAAAGCATTATTTCTAGAGGTTTTTTTTCCACCAAATAATTGGATCAAAAGATAGATGCCATTATTGAAGGAAAGAGTTGAGATGAATAATTTAGGGGAAACTGTTGTGAAGTTATTTTCATTTCATTTTCCAGAAAAAAGGAAATTGAGCTCATTGACATGTATTAATATATATTTTGTGTGTGTGTGAGTAGAAGTCTGGTGGTTACTTTCCCTTGTGTAGAGTGTTACCATCGTCTTGTTTAGATTGGTACATAGTAAATTGGCAAAAATAATAACTTTGGGAGAATGGGAAAAAAATGAGAAAAAGAACATATTCCGCACATTTCAACTGAACCCTATGAATAGGATTGAAATAAAAGATATTTTTAATTGGCTACTGTGTGCTTACTTTTGGATTAACATGATATTAATTTTTATTTCTAAATATGCCAAATGCAATATCATAGATAAAAATAAATTAGGACTATAACATATGCCTATATAAACAAATTTTAGGCATAAATATTCTATTTGTGACTGTTTGTAAATGTTCCTTATCTGAGGATGTGTGACACTTTCTGAACATTCAATAAACAGATGTAGTATTACCAGAGAAAATGTGTTTGTAGAGTTTAACAGGAAAGCGTTATTTATCATGTGCAATTTGTGACTCAGGAGATGAACTGATAACTCTGAAGGCAGAGCATAAATTGTGGTATGGTTTTTTAGTACATTTGGTAATTAGCAGTAGGTAATGTAAATAGCAAGAAAACACAAACTTATCTATTGAAGTATACTTTAGAGAGAAATTAAATCTCATTCAGTATGCAGATAAAGCTGTTTGAATTTAATGTCTTTTAGGTCCTTCTAAAAATGATGATTATATTTGTTATTTCAGAGTATCTGACCGTGTTCTCTCAGATGATTGCATTCCACGATCCAGAGCTGAGTAATCATCTCAATGAGATTGGCTTTATTCCAGATGTAAGTACTTGATGCGTTAACAGAACATGCGATAAAAAATAAAGGAGAAATTGGCAGCATTTCTGCAAAAAGGAATGTATTTTTAAAACTTCTGTTGGCCTAGAAGTCCATTTCTGAAGAAGTAACTGCTACTAATTACAGCCTCTGTTAAGAAAGTTCTTGTGGTTACCTTTTATATTCCAAGTAAAGGTAAAAGTCTTTTGTTTTGTAATATACTTGATACTATTAATATCAAATGTTTGGGAAAAGCCATTATTGAGAATGTTGTATTAAACTGTGCTGTGAAGGGTTTTCACTTGGATTTTATGATACTGAGGCCCGATTTTAAAGAAATAGGAAATTTGTTCTTAAGTAAAATCTTAGGTAGCTGCTTTTCTATTTTGCTTAAACCCATTACCTTGGAAGCTTTGATGGTTTTGCTGACTTCCTTAGCTTCTCTGTAGTCCATATCAAGCTTAAAGTCAGAGTTGACACTCAAAGTTTAGCCAAGGCAGGACGTAACTAATTTGAAAAATGCTTTATGTTAAGGATTTTATAAAAAAATCAATAAAAAATTATCTTTATAATTAAAATAGGAAAAATAAAAAGCTGTTGGAATTACAATATCACAGGTTTTTATGAACCTAAAAAATGCTTTCTGAAATAGAGATTTCCTTAGTCTATCTTAGCTTTCTTTGTTTCCTGATTGTGCTTTTCCTCTAAAAGTCTTAGATACAGAAACTGGTTGACGGTCAAGGTTAGGGTGAAAATGTTTATATGAACGCTCAATCAGTGCATTGTAGGTGTTGACAATAACACTCATAGTATGAGTGCTTTCAGAATGCTTTGAAGTTTAAAAATAATTTTCATAGACATTTTACTGGCTTCTGAAAACAAATTTGTAAGGTATATGAAGCAAATGTTTCCACCGTTTAATTGATAAGAAATTTAGTCTTTATGAAGGTAATAAAACTAGTCACAGAACTGAAAGTTTAGCTCACATCATTTGGCATCAACCTTCTGCCCCCAGTCTGGTATACTTTCCACTGAGAGGACAGAACTAGAACATAATCCTAGTTCATTGCTCTTTGTGTTGTGCTGTAACTCTCTGTGATACAGTCGTCAGCCCTGAAATAACTCTCCCTAACATTTACAGTATCATTTGCTTCTAAGCTCATGGAGAGATAGCTTTCATTTCAGTACATGGCTTTCTCAGTGAGGGCTCTACAAAGAACGGGTACAGGTTACAAAAGAAATAAATGGCCAAAACAAAGCCAAGCCCTATAATTATAGGGCTGAAAAAACTTATAAAAATTAACTAGTATGTTGTTAACTATTCATTTTATAGAACTCCCAATATTTTGCCTCACATTATAAATGTGAATTATAATCTAGTTTAATACTAGATTAAATCTTCCACTAGAGGGGAAGAAATTATCAAGGTGCTGACTGCCATGTTGGTAATAATGTTACATATTTGAGGGAAAAGAATACTAATATCTAAGATACAGATGAAAAGAAGGGATAATTATTTTCAAAAAACTCTCAGAAAAATTAAATTGTGATCACCACTGAGTAGAAAATTATATTGGTTCAGTGTTATAGAATGATAGGAACTATTTATATAGACAAATATATATGCAGTTATAAAGACAGTCTGATAAAAATCCATAGGCATGATCGTGAACAGAGTTGGTGCAAAGAAAGGAAACATAGAAAGAAAAATAACTTATCTTTGCTGTCATTCATCAGAATAGTGATTCTTAAAGATGATAGAATAAGCAGTGGTGAGCATAAAACATTATTAAAACATAATAATGTTAATACATACTAAATACTCTGTATGCTCTTTGATCACTCACTACAAGCTTGTAAGTCTGATTAAACAATAACTGTTAAATAATAACATATAAAGCCAATTTGAGAAGGACTAATAGTAAGGTAGAAATGAAGTTCTAGATAACAGTAACATGAGAGGTGAGCGTAGGTGGGAATCAGTTAACAGGTGTTCTAGTGTTTTGTGTATTCCTTCTGTTGGAACATAAATATGTTCATTGTGTTTAGATATTAAGTCTGGGAACCTTTCAGCCCTGAGATTATATTTTACTCTCATAAGCTCGACTGCTACTGTTTCATGGATATGGGGAGAAAACAAGACTCTTGGATCAAAGACAAAGGACTGAATCATTCACAACATGGGAAGCAGCACAGGTGTCCACATATTTGTGTTGGAGACAACATCGAGGGCCCAGATGATACCTATATATGCACTACTTGAACTGAAGGAATTTGAATTTTTTTTTTTTTTTTTTGAGACAGGATCTTGCTCTCTCGCCCCTGCAGTGGCATCATCCTAGTTCACAGCAACTTCACATAAATTCCTAGGCACAAGCAATCCTCCTGCCTCAGCCTCCTCAGTATCTGGGGCTACAGGCGTGCATCACTGTGCCCTGCCAATTTTTCTGCCTCTTGGAGAAATGGGGTCTTGTTCTTGCTCAGGCTGGTCTCAAATTCCTGGCTTCAAGTGATGCTCCCCCTCAGCCTCCCAAAGTGCTAAAATAACAGGCATCAGCCACCACACCCAATGTGGGAAATGGCAGTCTACATGCTCTCCCTTTACTCTGGTGAGAAAAAGAGAGTGACCCCTACCTTTTTCTTCTAAGGTTATTAGTAAACTTGTCCTTTGCTCCGAGGGAAACACCATCTCTGTTTTCCTAAGGCTGTTTTTATTACAAATATATTTGAAAAGATAGTCCAGAACAAAAGACAGTAACTGTCTTTCCTCAGAAGAAATTCTGAAGTTCAGGAATGCATGCTAAAAATTTAATTTAGTAGTAATCACTAAAAGAATAGAGAATATATAACTTACAAACCAATGGTGGGGAGCAGAGTAGCACAAAGAAAAGCCAATTAATCTCCTAAGAATAGAAAGAACATAGAAAGAATGTAAGTCAATTAAATCTACTTTTAAAGGAAATTTTCAGATGTATTATTAATATCAACCTATATGCTGTTTTTAGATGAACATAAAAATAAAGGTCAAAATGATAAAAGAAAATGTCAAATACGAATCAAAAGAAAACGAATGCAGTGATACTAATATAAACTGGTAAAAACAGGAGAGAGAAAGCAGGTCCCCCATATATGGAATTTGGTATGTGATGGGGGCAGCTTTACAAATCACTTAGAAACGATCCTGACAAAACTGTTTAAATACATAGAAGGAGGTGTCCATCAAAGCGTAAATTTATCCTGTACATAAAAATAAATTCTACATCTACTAAAAGGCCTAAATATAGAATGTCATATTTATATTTTCTGTTTAGGAAGAACTTATTAAGGTTATAAAATGTATAAAACATAAATTTAAAAAGGGACAATTGGAAATGAGGAGTGTGCCAAGAGGCTTCCATTGTATTGGTAATGTATTATTTGGCTTTAAAAGTTTCTTGAAGCAAATATGGCAAAATGTTGATGCTTATTAAATCTGAATAAAGAGTACATTGGTGTTCGTTAAATATGCTGTCATTTAAAGCGAGTGAATTATTCAATAATTTTGCTGTCCATTATTTATTCTATTTATGTATCCCTGTCCATAATGAGCCAGTGCTAAAATTACTGGGGCATTTTTTGTGCAACTTCTAGTAAAAACTCTCCAATAGTATTATTATTGTGAAAGTAATACTGATTTACGTGTATGGTGTGATTAGTCTTGTGAGACATGCATAAGTTACGTGGGGTGGGAGATAATTTTTGTATCTAGCACATGGTAAATGCTAAACATCCCTGACTCCCAGCCACTGATTGCCCTTAGTCACCCTTTAATTATTGTCACAATAAAATGCCCCTATACACATTTCCAGAAAATTGCTTGTATTTTCAAGTAATAGTTCTGTCACTATTGAGAATCCCTGGAGTAAACAAAACCAAGCGAGGGGAAACAGAATGTGTCTTAATATATCTGCCTACAGTTATTTTCTTATCACAGAGTGGGCAAATGAAGTTACTTAAAAAAGTAAAACAAAGGGACAGCACCTGTGGCTCAAAGGAGTAGGGCACTGGCCCCATATGCGGGAGGTGGCGGTTCAAACCCAGCCCCAGGCAAAAACAACAAAGAAAAAAAAAAGTAAAAAAAAAGTTTTAGGTTTTAGGTTATTTTCTTGAAGTGCTTTAAATTCGTTTCATTTTGTGCTGTTTCTCAAGTCTGTAAATAATGTAAAAATATCAACAGGCCATTTTTAAATTCGATTTTGTAAACAGATTTGGTGTTTTTAATGTAGAGATTGCTGACAGTGTGTCATGGTGGGAGAGGTGTGATGAAATGGAGACTTCTAACATTTTTCAGCTAATCACGTAGTTTTAGTTGCATTTCTTTAGTCTGTATAGATAGTATTCTTCCTTCCTCCTCCTGAATTATTGTCTTTAATGTTCTACCTTTGAAATAATTTTTGAGGTAACTTTCTGTGCCTCTAACAGCAACATAGGCTAAGATTCATTAAGGGGAAGAAGAGTGGATACTTTGATAATGAGACTCCCAAACCAAGTTTCTGCTTGAGATTTAATCCTATCAAAGAAAGCCCTCATTAATCTTTCATCATTGAAATGCCGGCTTCTGTTGCAGGAGAGATTGTGATTTCTGGCTTTTTTCCATTTGCTGTGGGTCATGGAACTCTGACTACTGAGCACTGCTAAAGCTTGAATAGTTAGAAATATTGTGCAGTGATGTGAGGCTGAGATTCTACATGTCACGGTAGTTATGCGATTTACATATAAATAGAATGAGTAATGTGTATTTGGTAAAATTGGGGCCGGGGCGATTTTTATCCTTTTCATCTTGATGTGCATTTCCGCTGTTGAAAATATACTAGACCTCATTTAAAATGAGAACAGGAAAGTATGCTTCCTCATTCTAAGGGAACTGTTTTCCTGAAATGCTATGAATAGTATTCAGCTTTCAAATTATGAAAAGTTGTCAGGTGGCCATTAAGAGAAATAAAGACTGTATCTCAGTGCTATATATG